TCTTGAGCAGACCAATAGTCCCATAATTTCTCCAAACATATATCGAGCTGAAATTAATCCACCATGAGCTTCTTGGTCGAGCCCTCAACAGTGCCGTTCCATGATGAGCCTTCAGTAATCATTGGCAAGAGGTGGAGCCACACTGAGACGTGTGTGGTCAGAATCGCATGCTCGCCTATTAGGATGAAAAAGAAAAGATCGTGTGAATAGATGATTCACTAAATTTATACAGCTCGGTGCGTAACCGGCGTTTTTTTTTTCGCTGACCGGTGCATGTTTATACTCGATGCCGTGAGCCGCGCGATGAACATAAATATTTCAATTATATCATATACACCTACTATATAAGCAATGTCCATATATCGCATAAATTTAAATATTTTATGCACAGAGTTGTCGAGTGGAATTAAATTACCACATAATCAAGGCGGCAAGGTAATCAAAAAAGTGGCAGGAAGTGAAAAATGTATATCGAAAAATTTAATAAAGGCGGAACTACGATGAAAAGGCAGCCCATGAGGAATCAAGGTAGAGGTATTCAGTGGCGCAGGGATAAGAAAAAGAAACAAGAAGCCCAAAATCCGAGACCTTTTCACCATTGATTTACGCGCTACGTGACTCATTGCTACTGCGTTCCCCAGCCCTAACGCTCTCTCTGCTAGAGCGGCTAGCGTCAGGCAGATAGAGGGATAGAGGGTGGGCGTGCCGCGGCGCTAGCGAGGCATATCCTTCGCTGAAGGCATATTCTTCACTGCGAGTCGGTCCACCTTGCGTTCCGCCTGTCTTTCCACTAGGTAGGTCACCTTTCTTCGAGTTCCGACCTTATTAGGAGATCATTCTCTAAGGAAAAGGAAAATAACGTAGTTAAGATGAACATTTCTATTGTTTCAGTGTTCAAAGTCGTTGCACAGGTTTGTTTCATTTTCACTACAGGAGGCTGCAGCTGATGTTTTCCAGAACAATTAAAATTCAGTTAAGTCCTTTATTAGTGAGATTACGAAGTCCGATGAGTGACCGCAACCGTAACACGTGACTGGTTGGCGCGCGATGTCACGTGTCATCGATTTGAATTCGACGTGCCCTTTTGTCGTTTTTCCGCGCACTCCACGGCGACAAAATGGACGTATAGAACCTGTCAATTGTACGGAGCGTCTGTGCTGTATACATGTGGAGTATGGCAGGCAGTCGAACGTGCCGGCAAGGGGTTTGGCGGCACCCTGGGGTTTACCTCCCTTGCCCTTGCTCAGTCGCTTACCTCGCGGCGGAGGCGAGCGCTGCGTGTATTTTTGGATAGTCGCCCAGGGGCGATTGTGGTAGATGGGGGTATTGCGCACTCGCCTTGCTAGTCAATTATACCTCCAGTGCAAGCTGCCCCGTGCTCCATGTGCCAACGTAGACTACGGTATCCCGTCAGTCATCGACTTAAACTGCATCAGGCTCTCATGTATCTCCGAATCAAATTCAACAAAATGTCAAATATACCCTCAGAAAACGATTGCGCCACCGTCAGCACGCAAATAGTTTAAAGCTATTTTGATTATATGTTCCGACCTCTGGCAATACATAAAAGCGCAACCATCCGGGAATTGAGCGTCATAAAATTCACCTTCGTGAAGCTACGAGCCGAAAGCCGGTGCATCTTTGGTGACCTCAACGCGCACGCCTGCCACGACCACCCCGCGCCAGGGCCTTAATACTGCCCAGCGCGTCATCTTATCAGTAACCCGTATATGCCTAAAAATCAGCACCCTCGCTCTTGCTCACGCTTATCCTCCCTCGTTCTCTCACTCGCTTAACGTAACACGCGTAATCCTCATCGCCTGTCATCCATGGAAATCCTAGCGCTCCTTCACGCATGAAAAAAACGTCTACTTCCATCCTCTCGTAAATTTTCTCTCCTCCTTTTCCTCGCCGAAAATCCACTTGCCACCACTACATAGAATCACTTTTAAGAGTAATAACCACACCTTAACACTTTAGAGACCGCGCATGTTACGATTCTGAGGCCGCCGGGGACCGCCTGAAATTTCGGGGATCTTTTAATTATTAGCAAATCCAAAAATCACCCACTTATACCAGAAGAGATGTATCGGATAAACGAAAAGAAAATAACTAAAAAAAAACTAATAATCAACAAGATATGTGGATTTGTGAACAAAACTTTCGCCCCAGGCGGGACTAGAACCCGCACCTCTCGCTTTCCGGGCAAGTGCGCTACCAGTTACGCTACCGGGGCACCATTTCATCCCAACTCAGCTTTCATGGTATACGTACCATAGCTTTCAGCACTCACACGTATAGTGCTTATTCCCGTTAAGCCGATAACGCAATGAACCGCGAGCTGAAACTTTAGCAGGAATTTTGACATGTTTGTTCATCTCAAATTCACTGCAAACTTTCAGTCCTCGCGGCATTGCCGATACGGCCGCCAACACGTATACGTGTGAGCTGAAAAGCTATGGTACGTATACCATGAAAAGCTGAGTTGGGATGAAATGGTGCCCCGGTAGCGTAACTGGTAGCGCACTTGCCCGGAAAGCGAGAGGTGCGGGTTCTAGTCCCGCCTGGGGCGAAAGTTTTGTTCACAACCCAGCATTCTTGTGAAACATTCGCGCAAGGTCCTAAACACCCACATAATGGCTGCGTGCCCAATGTTTGATGACTCCTTTGAGCCATGGTGAGACAAAAACGGAAAGTTGGAAGTTGACCGAAGTTTTATTCGAGGAATTGATTGTTACAACGGTGATTAAGGAGAAGGGAAAATAGTGGCTGTTGGGCAGACGATGGAGCTGACCAAGCGTGCTCAAGAAAGGATAAGCATTAGCTTAAAAATAAGATATTTTGTAATCGTATCCCAGACCAGATCTGTCAGACTGGAACTCGGTTACTTATTTAGGCGCGGACAGCTTCACATAACAGCGACAGAACTAGCTGTCACTCCTATCTGACATCAGTACGTAATTAGCAGTACTAGAAACATGAATTACTGAAATGAGACCCCACCTGGAAGTAGTCATGGAGTTTGCCAGGAATGTCTACTTCAGTGACGTTGGCAGCACTTCCAAGGCGTGACCACTCAATATTTTCTTCATCGACTCGACGTAAATGAAGCAGAAACCCATCCACAACACCATAAAAAGAGTCTCCAATGCTTCGCCACCTGAAATTCTTTGGGCTGATATCGCACTTATCTGACGATGAATTGATGTTGATATTACAGATCCATGTCACACTTACCGAAATGACTGCCCATTCAATAGAACAGCTTTCAGATTCAATTCCACCGCAGGGATTTTCAGAATCGGCATCACCAAGCGAGTCAATGAAGACGTCTGAAGTTGTACCATGTTACCGTCAATATCCGAGAGTTGGGGTAGGCGTGTCACCGGAAGTGACGTGCACTTGATAGAAGTTGCGTGGATAAGCTGTTGCCAGCATGCTTTGCTGATATCCAGCGATGTATGTTGGAAGCAGCTTATCCACGCGACATCTATCAAGTGCACGGCTGCTGCCGGTGACACGCCTACCCCAACTCTCGGATATGGACTGTACATCAAAACAACGACGAGTACGACCTGAATCGCTATACGTACAAAAAGACGAAGTTGACTCCGATTTCAAAAAAGTCGCGTCAGGCTCATCATTGCGCCTTAAAGGCAAAGGTCGGGCTCAGGCACGCTAGAGAAGTAATTCCCGTGCCTGGAGGTTGTATGTGGGTAGCTGCACACATTGCAGCAACTTCCCACCTTGAAAAACCCGTTAAGGCCCCGGGGCGTTCGGTTTCAATCCAGGGCCGCCTGGTCAATCCAGGACCGCCCACCTCCGGAAGTGGTGCGTGGCTGGCATAACGTGTGAAATCAGCTAGGTTGATTGCCGTATCAACCGATAGAACGACTGATATCTTCAGAAAACTTGTTTGTACGTGCCTCTTTCCCAAGCCAGCCTCCTTCACTGCTAGTGGGAAAGAGGGTTTTGTTAACGGCCTTGTCGACGGTTTTTCTCAGTTTCTCCACTGTCGTTTCCACTTCGCATCTCTATACTCAGTTTCAATCGCCATAATACCCCCTTATTGAGCCCGACTTTTGCCCATAATATCAAGCATGGAAAGTCTAATTCGGCAATTAGCATGATTTGGAAGGATTATAACGTCGTTTATGGTACACAGCTATATGTAACGGTCGTAATAGGTATTGAGAGCGGCTGCAAATTATCCTGTACAGTTCATACAATGGAGAGGCACGAGCAGGATGTTCTTTTTCTGACATCATTATTTCAACTGGGATCATTCGTGGTTTGCTTGACCTCAGAAACAATGATTGACCAACGAACTGACCTGAAGAATATCCTGACAGAAAGCACCACAACGAGATATAGTCGTCTTAAATTCATGATATTGCCTAACTGATGCCGCTGTTGCTACAAAAATCTATAGGGGACCACACCATCATCAAATTCTTCGCTCAGAAATTTTCGTTTCGTTGCTTCAAGAGAAGTCAGGAAACTGAGATCCAAAACTTTCACTGGTGAAGATCGCTATGGTCCTTCGATGCTTTGCGAGAATTTTGCTAACACAGCAAAGATGACGGCCCCTTGGACAGTGCTTGTAAAGCGTTTTGAAAGCACCAAGAAATGTTTCGTTTTCGGAAATTCTCGAGCCAACGAACATGCTACAAAAATAAGGCCAGAATTGACTTCAAGGTATCGCTCTGACGTGGACATGACTTTGGTATAATCTTTACTTGTCTTTGAGGATTTGCAAGGAAAGAGGATTCGGCGGTTGCCGCGGGACAATTACAGTTCCGACATTTACCTACATCAAAAGGTTTTTTACCGCCGCTCTTAATGATTCACTTATTGATAAATACGAATAAAATAGGAGTGCTGACAGATACATTTTTGACCTTCATTTCTTCTGGTGTATATCTGTTTAATTTGCAGAGACCACTACATATGTGGAAGGCTTAGGTGATCAGGCCCCATCTGTGTCACAAAATCTGATTGTGAGTTTGATTTCACAGGTAAAGAACGCTGCGATCAACCAAAATTCGATGGCAATGAAGTTCGTGGGTTAAGATGCCTACAGAACAGCCCCAGATCGAACTTGGTGAGATAAAGTTGATAATGATGGCAAAGAGAGGACGTGCCTGAACGTGTTTTTTGACAGAGTCGCATCAACGCTATCTTTCACATCTATCTACCTATCGGCTATCTCATTTGTACGTCGTAATCCACGTTGCATTTTGAGGGGCTACGGGGTATGTATATCGGTCATTGCCTTACATTAGCCGTCATTAGCCTACTTTGTAAGGCCCTAGCGACATTGTCGCGCATTTTCGAGCCACTACAACGGCACATCTGTGATACTCGTGGGCTACTCTATCTCACCCACAGAATATGACACTTGGACACAACCCCTCTGGGGTTGGTGCTCAAGAAGTGCAGGAGAATTAACATTTACTATAACTGCTATCCCAAAGGTTTGTATGCAGAGAGGAAGATCCAGAAGGGAAAAACGCCAATTTCAACGTTCAATCTAGGCGCGGCCTAATTTTGCAAAAACTTCTAATACTCTCACGACGGCGCCCTTTTTCACGGCTCCATGGAATAGCTCACCAGCGGCGCGGACGCGACCGCGTGCAGATGACGTCAAAGCGCGGCGTGGGAGAGAGTAACGAGTAAGGTCCGATGACAAAATTAATTCCGATTATCAATAAAAGTTAGTTATACATTCTCTGTGCCTAGAGGTTAACGAAGTGAGTAGACAATAGGGAACCTACGAGATTGAGAATATGCAATAACCTTCAAGTTAATTGCGCACTTCAAGGATTCACCCATGAAGGCGTTGATGTCCTCCACATTCTAAACAATTCCGATTTACCAAGCGCGAAAATGGTACTTATAAAATGGTACTTATACACAATACGATTACTCGCCTCCCACAGCGCTTCTGATTGCACTGGTTGGTAAGGTGCCAGCAATCCTTCCACTAATCGAGCAAAAAGGCAACGAAAGGCACGACACTGTCCCTCTTGCCTTCTCGTCGCACTTATCGCAGTTGTGACGTCACTGGCACGCGCTCGCGTCCGCGCCGCCGGTGACCTTTTTTCTCCTCCGTTTTTTCACGAGCGCGATTTTGTGAACGGCCCCGCTTCATATCTGTGGATTTTGTATTGTAAATGAATAAAAACATATATATGACAGAATAATTTCACAATGTTCAATGCGCAGATGTTATAAAGGGAAACATAGTGTTTGCGATCAAGACAATGACTATTGGAGATGAAAAGGCACCATCTAATCTACATCCGCAGCAGACGAAGTTAAAAGCATTTCCAACTCGACTGTCATTTGAGCATATATATGAGCATTCATAGAGTTTTGTCATTACTTCAAACAACTCTTTCGGCGTTCATTTCTTGAGGAAGGACATTCAAAACTTTTGGTAGGTGAAACTAGGAGTGAGCCCTAGACTAGGGACTAGGAGTAAGCGTAATTCTCTCCCAGAATACTTCCCCTCCCTAATGCTTAGTTGCGAGTTGTATTAGTGGCCCACTCACTTCAATGTCCTCTTGAGGACATGAGTGCCATTCCTTCATTCACATGTTCATGGCAATAAAAAAGAAAAACTGGAATCAAGCGAACCAGAAATTTCATAACGCTCAGAAAAACTTCTCTACAGTGAAGCATATGAAATATAACCTTTTGGTAAATCCTGTCGTTTATAGTTGCGTATTACACCCAAAATTACGATATAAGTGACTGGGAAGCGATTGTTGCTGGCAGCCCGTACAGTCTGCTATCTTACGAACACATTCCCCTAGCAGGCCATATGAGCTGCCGCCGGCGTGGTTGTGTTGAAGGAATCCCTCCCGGAAAAAACCATGGTTGCGTCTCACCCATAATCGCTGGAGACCCATCGATCACGATAAGAACGAAAAGAACAAAAATTGCATTTGTTTTGGTAAACAATTCGAAAAATTGGAAGGACTGCTACGCGTTCAAATTCCCGCCGGACATCTGTCACAAATGCTGGCGACGCTTCCACTTGGTTCACGGAGTGCTGTCACTAGAAACTCTTTTTGACCTTTTGACTTATTGCACTGACATCTCACACTTCTACTGCATCATATTCTATTGCGTCGTCTGATACGTAGCT